AACTCCCTTCGTCACGAGATAGCCAAGGCCCCAACCGATCGTAAGAATCATTTTTACTGCGCTGGAAATACTTTCTAAAATCACTCCTAGAAATTGTCTCTCTCGAAGAGTTCTACCTCCAACGAAGTTGAAAAGGGGATTCTTGTATTCCAAATGATGATAATAATCTTTTGATTATTTATGACATCATTGATGAGAACATTGATGACATGATGATGTCAAACAACCATGTGTCAGGTGCTTGTTTGTTTTAGTTGCTATGGAAACACAATGAGTTATGTATGATGTAAGACTACTGTCAATTAAAAATCCATTCGTAGACATCTAAATTTGTGAATGTAAGTCAATAACTGCATAAATTTAGGTTTTGTATTTGTCCTGTTTTCCAACTCAGACATACGTGTAGAAATCAAAGATTTTACCTATGAGAATACCCATAAGCAAATAAATTAATACAAATGTTTTTGATAGGTTTTGTAGAGAGAGTAAGTATTTTTCCGGAAGTTCGACACACATCAGTCACATTTAGAAACTGGCTCTAAGCCATCGGCTTGATCTATTTTGAACTGAGTGAGGAAGATCCTCTTAAACTTATCATGTCTTGCCTTAATTGCTTGGTCTGTTCATAAGGAAAACATTTACCAACATCTAATAATTATATTATTATTATTATTATTATTATTATTATTATTATTATTATTATTATTATTATTATTATTATTTTACATTTGAACAAAGTGACAAAGATGATTTACTAAGCAGATAATCAGCCAAAGAATTTTATGTTTAATCTCACCTTATTTATTTATTTTTTACCTTTTCTCATTCTCTAACACCCCCCCCATCTCAGCCTCTTTACTGTGTGTTTATGAATTGGCCCTTTGTGAAATCTTCTGTTTACTCTTTACCACTGCAGCATAAAGTGACACTCAAATCCAAAACATTTGCAATGGAGGTTTTGTTCTTAGTTTGTTTCTTTGATTCATCTCCAGCTAATGTTCCGGGCAAGAGGCAGGGTTCACCCTGGACAGGTCACCAGCCTGTCACAGGGCCACACAGAGACACCTGGGGACAATTTAGAGACACCAATTAGTCTGACAGTCAGTCAGACTGTGGTAGGAAGCCAGAGTACCCAGGGAGAACCAACCATGCACAGGGAGAACATGCAGACTCCATGCAGAAAGGCCCCAGGCTGGGAATCAAACCCAGAACCTTCTTGCTGCAAGGCAACAGCTCTGCCAACTGCACCACTTTGCAGCTGTGTTATTAAGCATGTTGCGATAAAAAAATAAAAAATAAAAAAGTAGCAGCATAGCAGCAAGTGTTCAGTCCTTTGTGGCACTTGAGTTTAGATCAGATTTCGATTAAGACCAGATCAGTTTTTGGTCTGTTGAACAGAAAAATGTTTTTACTCTCTTACCATAAAAACTAGGGTTTGATTTCCTTTCACACCTGGACTCAGTGAAAGAATGTCATGTAAATTCCATCTTCAAACGATATTTACTTTGAAAATTAGTAACATGTTAAATTCTTGTTAAATATTTTAGGCTATACGGATAATATTAAATAAATTTGAATATTATTGAAAAGTTAATTTATTTCAGGAACTTTATCATTAATTGAACACATTATGTAGATTAATTACACACATGGATATTTGATTTCCTTTATTTCTGTTAAGTGTGATGATTTTCCTCTAACAGTTCATGAAAACATGACATTTAAAATTAGATTATTGCCTCAGACCAATGAAAAATTTTACTTTTAAAAAACAGAAAAGTATGCCAAATAACTACTTAAAGGTTATTATTTTCAAAATCACAAGACTCATGAAGACATTTTTAATTATTGAGTATGACTGTCGTATCTGTGCTTTGAAAATGGCTGAACAGAACAACTAAGACTGGGTGAGTTTGAGAAAATATATTTTCAGGAACATAAACGAAACGTAGGAACATAAACAATGATGAGTCACAATGCTTTTATGAAATGCTGAGTGTAATGATTCTGTGTAACGATAGGCTGTTATAACCAAATGTATTTTTACATGAGAACATGTCAACCATTCATGAATGCATTAGTGTGGATTATCAGTCATGAGGACAAAACCATCCTAATGCTGGTGTTGGTCGTGTCTTTAGCTGGACTGATGTTATTACTCCTGTGCTGCTGCGGTTGTTACCACATCTTCTTGTTTTCCCTTTCTGAGGTCGGCAAGTAGGACAGGGCTTGTGCAGATCCACATGTGGTTAGAGCTCAGTAATCATTTATTTAACTGATTTTATCTATTTCAAAAAGTCCAAACTCAAAGAAACAAACTTAATTCACTGTTTATCCCAGTTTGTAAACAAGGACAAAGTTTAGTTTTAGGACAGAAAAGTCAAGCATCAGTTATTTCCTCAGGAAATTCAAGGCTATTGCTTCAAAACACCAACATGAGCTCAGGGTAGGAGGATTTTAACCCTTGTGTGTGCGAGACTGAAGCGATACAATTGATGTCGCCTCGGGGCCCATGCGGACCCCGCAGAGGTGAAAACCACACAGTTGATGCGTTATAGAGGAAGCCAACCTGCCGCTGCAACGGTGGTGTAGAGCAACACAAAACACAAACACCAGAGTTCACAGTAGATGCCGGCATGCAGCCGAGTGAACGCAGCTAGCTAGCTATCCGTCAGAAGGTTCAGCAAATCTGTTGTGGAAATCTGAGTTCAAACTGAAATGATGTTAAATATTTTTGGATTTTTGATTAGGAAAAAAAGAGGCGAACAAAAAACAAACATGAAAAACGTCTGACCTCAAAATAGAAAACATCAAACTTTTTACTATTTCCACCCATTAATCCAAAAACTGACATCTGATTATCAGCTTGAAAAAAAACATAACATTCATAACCATGATAAAGAAAATGTGCAGCAATTGATGCTAGGAGCAATTAGAAAATATATATAGATCCAAAAAGGTGTCTTTAATTAACATTAATGAGTAGATAGCTTTTATGTTTTATTTCATCACCAAACAGGGCATATCTCCATATAAAATTACCATTTTAAAAAGCACTCAAAGCTGAGAAATCAGTTCTCTAAATCAGTGACATACAGAATTTCTAAAATTTTACATTTATTTCTTTCAGTGTAAAATATTTTGTGATGTTTGATACTTTAATGAAAAAAAACATTTGCTGTACTTCTCCATTTATTCTGATAAAACAATAAAACAGCCTAATAAGCAATTATCACCAGTGGTCATTTACAACAAGCATTAAAGCATTAAACATTATAAAAACCTCATAATAATATCAGTGATCATGACACTATGCAGACTCAGAACACTTTGATACAAATACAATTATTATTACCATGACATAATAAGTTTTGCTCGAAGAAGGAAAATCAAACCAACCAAAAGAAAAAAGGCTTGCTTATTTGCTTATTAATAATATCAGCCAAAAATAATACTAATGGTCATTTAAAGAACAAATCAGACAAATAGACATCAATATTTCCTACTTTAAAAGGTTTGTTAATGTTTCTGTATGCTTTATTTTGAAATGCTGATATATTTTGACTAAAATACCAGCATGTTCCCATAACTTTTATACTTTCAGCTGTCTGACGCCACATTTTGAATATTAAATCAGGTGTTATGATCAGTTCCTCAGTACTTGAGTAGCTTACCAAGTACTTTTTACACTTGCTTAATCAAACGTGTTTGAGGTCTGCTACCCTGTTTGGAGTACAATTTTGGGGTACTCTAACCGACCTCTATGCTTTATGGATCACCTTTTAAAAACAAAAAACACCGCCATAAAATAATGTCTATCACTGCAGCGGACGTCCCACGTGCATGGACGACGCACCGTGGGGAGCGTCTCTTATTTTTATTTCTGAAAGGTGGCAACCCTAGTTGGCATGAAAAAATGAACAGATGGCTAACAGGATGTAGCGTTAGCCACTGTAGCTTCATGCTAACATCAGTTCCTTGCTGATGTTAGCTTTTGGCACGAGACACTACTGCTTCAAAAATGGGTTTATAAGTATTTTTTTTAACCCCAAGTCTGTTTAAAAACACATGTCAGATGCCAAGGTGTTCATAAAAGCACCAACAAGTTTGGAAATTTAAGTGTTCATAACGTTTTTATTAAGCTAGGCTATTAAAAGCATCAGGGATTTATTTATTAAGCAAAACACGTGTTAATAAAATCGAGTTCTTCTAAAGAAAACGAAATGGTTGTCTATGGAAAAAGTTTAAAGTTCTTGAAGGATTCTTTCTGAAAGGGTAGGTTTATTTTATTCACTGTTATTGGGTTATTTATTTATTTACATGTTTTTCATGAGAAAAAGACGGGGGAGGGGAATCATTTCCACCTGCATTTTTTTATCCAGTTCCTCACAAACATGTTGAGAAATGTATTTAAAGCAAATACAGATGAGGTTAGTAACTGTAAACAATTCATTAGAGCAATGTAAAAAGAAAAAATGCAACACAGTTGCCATAGATATAGACCAGGGATGATTCAATAGTTTCAAGAATGTTTTCTAAAAACACAGCTATTGATAGACTTTTTTCAATGTTTATCTGTTTTATTTATTCAAGGACGTATTTTTTGAGGTTTTAAAACAGTTTCCATGGACATTGTATGTCAAGCTCTCCACGAACGAATACGAAAACCAAACAAAAAAGATGTTTGGTAGTAGTTGATAGTATTTGGAGTTTGTCGTCTCTGCTGACATCTGACACTTTTATTGTTTAAAAACTTGGGGGGTGGAAAAAAACAAAAACAAACCCTGAACCTATCATTTGTAAATGCAGCCTCTCACCTACTAACATGTACTTTTAGCTCACACAGTAGCTTCAACATGTGCATGTTAGGATTTCTTTGGTTTGTTTGTTTTTTTTAAAATAGTGCAGCTTCTCATCTTCAGTGACTTTGTCTCTTTCTTTGCTCTTGTCTTTATTTCTTATACATGTTCTTTATTTTTTTTTCCACTCTTTTCATCTAGATGCTCCCACCACTATCCCTACACCCACCACCAACCCAGTCAACACGCAAGGTACTGTATTTCCCCACTACTGTCCCTCTCAGCAAAAACAAATGTGTGTGTGTGTGATAGAGAAAGCTTGCATGCATGTGTGATGGGAAGAAAGAGAACAAGGGCTCGTACCTACAGTGGAAGGGAGACGGTGGCTAGCCAGTTTAAATTAGATAGCGCTGTTGATAGGTGACAGTGAGGACGCGCAGTGCGGGACAGTCGGAGACACCCGTCACGGCCGTCTCCCCGCTCGTGCATTTGATCAGAGGGAAAATTTGCGACGCTGCTTCGCCGCTGTGTTATCTTATCGGCATCTGCAGCTATATATCTCAACTGGACCCGTCCGTCACGTTGTAATGCCCGTTACATCCCCTCTACAAATGCCAGTCACATTTTGTCTCGGCGAGCATCAATAACTGTTTTCCCGCTGACTGACAGAAAGTAGCTTATTTTGCCGCGCTAACAGCGTAGCAACCTCTTGCGTCATTTTTTTATGCTTAGGTTTACCTCTGCTGCTGCAAAAAGAGTGTTTCAGCACAAACCATTATTTTCTTTTTTTTTTTTTTAAGGCTATTATTTCAAAAGCAGTGTTAAGGCTAGACAGATGGTGAGGCAACCTTGGGAGTTGACATTTGGATATGCCAGAATGTGACATTTTAATACAAAAAAAAAAATCTCTTTAAAGAATAGATCGGTTTATCAATAGCTGCTTTAAAGATATGGCAATTTTTCTTTTGTCGTGGGCACTCTGCAATTCATTTAGTTAAAAAAAAATTAAATAATAAGAATCCAAGGCGACCAATAATACGTTAAAAAAAAAAAAAAAACTCAGGAGTGAGACTAGATCAAAAGCAAACGTATTCTAATGAGGCGACTCTAGATAACATTCATTTACGCTTTCATTTGATCAAAGAAAAAAAAGCTGACATTTTAGCTCTATTTTTGTGCGTCGGATAAAAATAGCGGCAGGTAAATCTCTCTTGAAAATGAAGCAACTTTTTTCCCTCTGGTTTCTCCTTCAGACCTGCCTCTCCTCTGTGACAAACGGCAAATCCGAAGCGCTGCAGATCAGCGATCGTCCTCTAACGGTTAAAACCTCAGTCAGCTTACCGACTCTCTCTGGGAGTGGCGGAGTCAAACGGGACGCTGCTTTGCACATCTGTTACATTATGTTGCAGTTTTCCATAAGCCTCTCTCCTTTTGAGTCACCGTGATGCTGCCGTCTCTGTTTTGTGCTAAAACATTCCGAGGAGACGGGCCCCAAAGCGGATTTGGCGTGATTTATGTGAAACATGCTGGGAGGCTGTAATTGAGCTTCCTTGCAGTTCGCTGCTCTCCTAAATACTCCTGTGTCACAGGGCAGTTCTGAGCTAGCTTGTGGTAGATTGCTCTGCTCTACCTTAATTAGCATAACGCCACAGTGTAGCATTTCTGTCCTGCCAATGAGTAAATATAGCTTTGTTGGAATAAACATGCCACCACTGAGGAATTGTTCTTCCTAGAGAGACACATCCACAGCTACTCGGAGATCCTGATTTTAAAGCCAGTGTCTGTACGTCCTCTGGTCCAAATTTAGTGTTGCCTTAGAAATATTTAAGGCAATGTTATGTTTTCAAGAAAAAGTTGCCAGTTTTCATCTTTGATGCTGTGTCTCTGTTTCAGAGGACTTGATAAAAACTTTGAGCTATATGTAGTGGGTATTTGGATATCTGTACTCACAGAGTCCATTGGGTAAATTCTTTATCTTGGTCACGAACCACTAATGTGAGCGCTTGTGCCACATCTCCATGGCAACCCCTAACATGAGGACACGACATGAGGAAGAAAAATAAAACGAAGCAAGAAAAGTAACAGCAAGTTGACCAAATCTATGCCAAAGACACAGCGGATAGATTTTTAGTACCTAAAGCTGTGGTGGTTTGGGGTTCCCAAACTTTTCCAATTTTAGTTTCCATTTTAGCAGGGGTTTTTTTTTTTGCATCAGAATCCTCCACAGGTGGGCTACTGGATACTTCCTTAAGTCTTTTCCATGTCAGAAACGTTTCCGTCTCTTGCTTGCTACGCCGGGCTGAGGAGCAACTCGGCAGAGTGATNATTATTTTACATTTGAACAAAGTGACAAAGATGATTTACTAAGCAGATAATCAGCCAAAGAATTTTATGTTTAATCTCACCTTATTTATTTATTTTTTACCTTTTCTCATTCTCTAACACCCCCCCCATCTCAGCCTCTTTACTGTGTGTTTATGAATTGGCCCTTTGTGAAATCTTCTGTTTACTCTTTACCACTGCAGCATAAAGTGACACTCAAATCCAAAACATTTGCAATGGAGGTTTTGTTCTTAGTTTGTTTCTTTGATTCATCTCCAGCTAATGTTCCGGGCAAGAGGCAGGGTTCACCCTGGACAGGTCACCAGCCTGTCACAGGGCCACACAGAGACACCTGGGGACAATTTAGAGACACCAATTAGTCTGACAGTCAGTCAGACTGTGGTAGGAAGCCAGAGTACCCAGGGAGAACCAACCATGCACAGGGAGAACATGCAAACTCCATGCAGAAACACCGGGGCCGGGAATTGAACCCAGAACCTTCTTGCTGCAAGGCAACAGCTCTGCCAACTGCACCACTTTGCAGCTGTGTTATTAAGCATGTTGCGATAAAAAAATAAAAAATAAAAAAGTAGCAGCATAGCAGCAACCGTTCAGTCCTTTGTGGGACTTGAGTTAATGTTAGATTTAAATTAAGACCAGATCAGTTTTTGGTCTGTTGAACAGAAAAATGTTTTTACTCTCTTACCATAAAAACTAGGGTTTGATTTCCTTTCACACCTGGACTCAGTGAAAGAATGTCATGTAAATTCCATCTTCAAACGATATTTACTTTGAAAATTAGTAACATGTTAAATTCTTGTTAAATATTTTAGGCTATACGGATAATATTCAATACATTTGAATATTATTGAAAAGTTCATTTATTTCAGGAACTTTATCACTAATTGAACACATTATGTAGATTAATTACACACATGGATATTTGATTTCCTTTATTTCTGTTAAGTGTGATGATTTTCCTCTAACAGTTCATGAAAACATGACATTTAAAATTAGATTATTGCCTCAGACCAATGAAAAATTTTACTTTTAAAAAACAGAAAAGTATGCCAAATAACTACTTAAAGGTTATTATTTTCAAAATCACAAGACTCATGAAGACATTTTTAATTATTGAGTATGACTGTCGTATCTGTGCTTTGAAAATGGCTGAACAGAACAAATAAGACTGGGTGAGATTGAGAAAATATATTTTCAGGAACATAAACGAAACGTAGGAACATAAACAATGATGAGTCACAATGCTTTTATGAAATGCTGAGTGTAATGATTCTGTGTAACGATAGGCTGTTATAACCAAATGTATTTTTACATGAGAACATGTCAACCATTCATGAATGCATTAGTGTGGATTATCAGTCATGAGGACAAAACCATCCTAATGCTGGTGTTGGTCGTGTCTTTAGCTGGACTGATGTTATTACTCCTGTGCTGCTGCGGTTGTTACCACATCTTCTTGTTTTCCCTTTCTGAGGTCGGCAAGTAGGACAGGGCTTGTGCAGATCCACATGTGGTTAGAGCTCAGTAATCATTTATTTAACTGATTTTATCTATTTCAAAAAGTCCAAACTCAAAGAAACAAACTTAATTCACTGTTTATCCCAGTTTGTAAACAAGGACAAAGTTTAGTTTTAGGACAGAAAAGTCAAGCATCAGTTATTTCCTCAGGAAATTCAAGGCTATTGCTTCAAAACACCAACATGAGCTCAGGGTAGGAGGATTTTAACCCTTGTGTGTGCGAGACTGAAGCGATACAATTGATGTCGCCTCGGGGCCCATGCGGACCCCGCAGAGGTGAAAACCACACAGTTGATGCGTTATAGAGGAAGCCAACCTGCCGCTGCAACGGTGGTGTAGAGCAACACAAAACACAAACACCAGAGTTCACAGTAGATGCCGGCATGCAGCCGAGTGAACGCAGCTAGCTAGCTATCCGTCAGAAGGTTCAGCAAATCTGTTGTGGAAATCTGAGTTCAAACTGAAATGATGTTAAATATTTTTGGATTTTTGATTAGGAAAAAAAGAGGCGAACAAAAAACAAACATGAAAAACGTCTGACCTCAAAATAGAAAACATCAAACTTTTTACTATTTCCACCCATTAATCCAAAAACTGACATCTGATTATCAGCTTGAAAAAAAACATAACATTCATAACCATGATAAAGAAAATGTGCAGCAATTGATGCTAGGAGCAATTAGAAAATATATATAGATCCAAAAAGGTGTCTTTAATTAACATTAATGAGTAGATAGCTTTTATGTTTTATTTCATCACCAAACAGGGCATATCTCCATATAAAATTACCATTTTAAAAAGCACTCAAAGCTGAGAAATCAGTTCTCTAAATCAGTGACATACAGAATTTCTAAAATTTTACATTTATTTCTTTCAGTGTAAAATATTTTGTGATGTTTGATACTTTAATGAAAAAAAACATTTGCTGTACTTCTCCATTTATTCTGATAAAACAATAAAACAGCCTAATAAGCAATTATCACCAGTGGTCATTTACAACAAGCATTAAAGCATTAAACATTATAAAAACCTCATAATAATATCAGTGATCATGACACTATGCAGACTCAGAACACTTTGATACAAATACAATTATTATTACCATGACATAATAAGTTTTGCTCGAAGAAGGAAAATCAAACCAACCAAAAGAAAAAAGGCTTGCTTATTTGCTTATTAATAATATCAGCCAAAAATAATACTAATGGTCATTTAAAGAACAAATCAGACAAATAGACATCAATATTTCCTACTTTAAAAGGTTTGTTAATGTTTCTGTATGCTTTATTTTGAAATGCTGATATATTTTGACTAAAATACCAGCATGTTCCCATAACTTTTATACTTTCAGCTGTCTGACGCCACATTTTGAATATTAAATCAGGTGTTAT